TCGGGTTCTCCAAAAAAACAAAAAAAAAAAAAAGAAAAAAAAGAAAAAAGGAAGAAGGTGGGAACCTGGGAGAGGCTGGCAATTGTTTTGCAGATGATTAGGATAAGGATGGAGGTGAGGAGGAAGATGGATCTGATGAGGACGGAAAGGGTTGGGTGAGTTGGGGGATGGCTAAAGAGATGGTAACGGAATTAAATGTAATTAACGGCAAAATAACAAAAATTTAAAGATGTAACGGAGTGTGTAGTGCGGAAGGGTGCATGCATTATTATTCAATAGAATATTATAAATAGTTATTGGACCCAAAGTAGAGAAGTTTTTAGCAAAAGAATTAGTATTAAGACAAAGTGAGTGAATACCATAAGAAAAGAAAATAAGTATTTCATAACTAATTAAGAGAATAGTGCAAAATTAGGATATCCTGATATTTAAAATGTTAAAGATTTCCTAATCATAATGCTATGGGGTTGAACAAAATAAAATAGTAGAGAATGAAAAGATAATATTTCAATTAACAATTAGTATATTTCATAAAATTAAGAATATTAAAAGGCTAAATTTTCTTCTTTTTCATCATTTCATACTAATCAATAAGATTCGAGTGAATCAAAGATGTAAAAATGATTATAAACTAGAGATGAAACACAATGAACTATCAATAAACTTTTAGAGAAAATGTTATCATTTTTCTTAGTATAAGATGCTGAAAACAAAACATCATAAGCAAGCATGTTACATCCTATTAACACAACTTTTAAAAGATCAAAACAAGCTCCTTTTTAAAATAATTATACCATAGGACTCAAGAAAATATATGAACTACCATCAATACATCCTTTTAAAACAATTGCATTGTAGAATATGAATATAGAGGCTCAAACTCCGTTTTCATATTTATGATATCAAATTAAAATACAAGGTAAGAAATCAAGAGGTTGGGAATGAATTGGTTATCCCCAATTGCATTTCTCATCACTAGATGTATTAAAAAAAAAAAAAAAAAACAACTGCATCATAAAAATTACAATAAAAATAATTACACAAGATAAACAAAAAGTTTTGTGGGCTTGGAGTTTTACTTAATACAAATACCCAAATACAAAGTTTAAAATACCATTGCATCTACAAATATAAAATAATTATAAAAAATATATAATTTTATTTAAAATTTAAAATTATAAAAAAATAAATATTAAAACAATTAACCCTATCAAAAAATTTAGCTTGATATTCAATGAATAAAAATAACGATAATATCTTAAATAATTTTATCATAAAAATTACTATAAAAATAATTATATAGTATTAAGAAAAATAAAAATATCCCATGCAGCGCATAGGCTTTAAAATCTAGTAACATTTATTTGGGATGCATTTATTATACTTTTTAGCAATTACTCTTTCTATTTAAAATGTTATAATTATAATATTATTATAATAAATGGTTCCAACAATAATTTTTCAACCCATTTTGGTCTTTCTGTCAACAGAAAATTGATATGATGACTAAATTTTATAGGTTAAAGACCAAAATCCCTCAACTTTAGGGTTTTATATAGTTGTTGTCTGATAACTTTTTTATATATTATTTGATTCCTCAACTATAAAAAATACAATTTTTTAGTCCTTTCATAAGTTAATTTATTAAATTTATTTATATATGCATATTTTTAGTCCCTAAGGTTTTAAGTTGAGAGAAAAAAATGTGCATATATTATAAATTAAGGGACTAAAAATATGTATATTTAGACAAATTTAACAAACTAATTGATAGAAGGGTAGACTAATTGATGGAATGACCGAAACATACATTTTTTATAGTTAAAGGATAAAAAAAGTACATAAAAAAGTTAAGAGATGAAAATTATGTAAAATTCTAAAGTTAAGGGACAAAATTAAAATTTAACCAATCTTCTACAAAAAAAAATCCCTAAATATTCATTTTGTTAATTTTTTTTATTAACCTTTTAGTATCTAAAAGCCACACTATATTTTAACTAATTTGAAGTTGAGCCATGTCAAATTTCATAAGGGAGAAGATCTTTTAACGTTTATTTTTCCATTTACAATATTTGAATTCAAAATCATATTTAAGAGAAATTAAGTTTCTTCTATACGAACTAATAGGTTGTTGGTATTAATTTAACAAATTTTTTAATGTTAAAGAAAAAATTTTAAAGGCCTATATTGAAAATTTTGACCTTCCTTCTTATTTTACTAGAAAAATAAAATCTACACTTTTTTTCCCCCAAATTTTAGAACTTTCATTATTTTTCAACATTTACTCTTAAAATTTACATTTCTTACCAATTTTTGAAGTTCTATATGGAGGACATTCTTCGACCTTTGGATTCTAAGTATATATATTTTCACTTCCAATGTTGTGTTTTGTTGTTGCCCAAAAATTCAAAGTTACAAATTTTTTCACCATATCATCAAATTTGGTCCCCTTTTTTTTTGTGTTTTGTCACAAAAATGGGGTCCACAAATGGTAAATCATCAATAAATTAACGTGTGAGAAATGGATTTGATGGAATAGTTATGCATCATAACGTCATCTATTAAATTTAAGTTAATTTATTTTAACTGAAAAAATATATAAATTAATTTATTTTTTTTAACAAAAATTTAATTAGTAAGACAATAATGCTTGTACTGAAAATCAAGTAGTCCATATCATTTTTAAATCCCCAATTTATTCAATCATATGGAAAGACTCGTAGCTCAACAGGGTGTGAAGCAAATACAATTGCCGTCCGGCTGACATAGACCACCTGCTCCGTCTCCAAACTTTAGAAGGCAGAGGTCGTTGCAGTTTGCGTCTGTGCAATTGTTGGTGCCCTGTGAGAAGCCACAAACCCTTATTTGAGTCCTCACTCGAGTTGTTTCTGAAACTGGATTTCATTGAGAATTTAGATGTCAAAGAAAAAAAGAACTAAACTCTAAGAACGAAAAAGATTAAAGAGAAAAGGTTTACCAGTAGCGAAGAGAAGAGCAAGCATAAGGATGGCCAAAAACTGGAGGCACTTCATGTCTTGGCCCTTTTTTTTTTTCTTTTTTATGGTTTGAATGGGAGTGAATGTTGGATGAATTAGAGTTTTTTTTTTGTCATATATATTTATAGCTAGCATCAAGACATCTCAAGAAAGAAAAGTCGTATATAATATGGCAAGAAATAAATTAACTCTTATTTAATTTTATTAAGTCAAATCTCACCTACTATACTTATTTCCTAATTCATGGAAAAATCAGTTAACTTTTATTTAATTTTATTAAATGAAATTTAATCATGAAAGAATCAATTAGGAAATAATTACAGTTTACTTTAATAATTTAAACAAAAAGAAGGTCAAGGAAGAAGAACCAAAAAATGATTTTAATTTTATTTTAATTCCATTTAATAAAATTAAATAAAAGTTAATTAATTCTTCCATGAATTAGAAAATAATTATAGTAGGTAAGATTTGATTTAATAAAATTAAATGAGAGTTAATTTATTTCTTTATAAATTAAGAGTTACTTATGGTAGGTGGGAATAATTAAATGGGAAAATATATTAATTGTTTTAACTTTTAAATATAAATAAAGTAAAATTAAGAATTAAAGTAGTTTTTAAATTATTTAAAATTAAAAAAAATCCACATAATCATCTTTTACATGATGGATTTTCCACTTAATATTGAAAATGTAAAATAGTCAATCACTTAGCGGAAAAATTAGCTACAGTAGCACTTAACTGACGGAAAGACGAAATTGGTGCTGAAAATTGAAGTTGAAGGACATTTTTGGTACTTTCTGAAGTTCAAGGATGAATTGGTTCAAAAATAAAAATTGAGGGATCAATTTAGGTATTTAACCTAAAAAAATATGTTAGCCACATCAGCATCAGTACCCAATTAATCATTAAATAGAAAAAGTTGAAAGTTGACATCACTAAATAGAAAAAGTTAAAAGTTGACATTTTTATTTAGAAAAAATTAAAAGTTGACATTTTTAAATAAAAAAAGTGTAAAGTTGATTTCTTTATTTACACATTTATTCATTAAAAAATAGGTAAAATCCTTAATAAAATCCTGAAACAATTAAAAAATAGGTAAA